GTCGGTCACCGACGTGACTCGGAGTGACCGACTGAAAGGGAACTGCAACAATCATTTTTGGCAAAAGCAGACAACTCCACATTTCATGTTTTAGAGTTAAAAAAACACTTGTTTAATCTTTGTAATCTCCCCAGATGACAATGTAGATACCTGACAAACGTTGTTGTTGTTGTGATCATAAGCTGTATGGATGTGATTACACGCAATACACGGAGCTTTTCCCTCACCATTGTAACGCGCTGCTTTTGCAGTTGCACCGGCTGCCTTTTTATGCTCACGCTGTGATCAGCGGCAGCTGGATGCAATCATCGCATGCCAATGTGCATTGGCTCATTTCGTTTACACTCGAAGTGGATTGGTCTCTCTAAGCGAGATCCCAATTTGTCGGTCACCGACGTGACTCGGAGTGACCGACTGAAAGGGAACTGCAACAATCATTTTTGGCAAAAGCTGACAACTCCACATTTCATGTTTTAGAGTTAAAAAAACACTTGTTTAATCTTTGTAATCTCCCCAGATGACAATGTAGATACCTGACAAACGTTGTTGTTGTTGTGATCATAAGCTGTATGGATGTGATTACACGCAATACTCTGAGCTTTTCCCTCACCATTGTAACGCGCTACTTTTGCAAGGTTCCGTGAAAACGTTTCAGCTTTTATTTTATTTTTTCGCCCTGAAGAAGATATCACAGGTTCATCAAATTCGTCGAAATTATTCATCCTCGATCACTTTGTCAGCTTTGACGAAATTCCTCTCAGCTAGCACATCTTTTCAAAGTGAAAATAGCCTTATCACCTGGCCTGAATACAGCACGCTGATTCGCTAAAATGGACTTATCGGCTTCTGTTTAAAAACAACAAGGGTGCTTGTCGGCTTCTGCAGTAAAATGTGAACTCACAATGCCTTGAAAGTGGACAAAACCGGCTTTTTTGACAAAACGTGTTTAGGGTTCAGATCGCGCTATATGTGGAGAACATGCTCTCTAATCAGCATCTTGATATGCCACACCTGTGAGGTGGATGGATTATCTCGGCAAAGGAGAAGTGCTCACTAACACAGATTTAGACAGATTTGTGAACAATATTTGAGAGAAATAGGCCTATTGTGTACATAGAAAAAGTCTTAGATCTTTGAGTTCAGCTCATGAAAAACGGGGCAAAAACAAAAGTGTTGCGTTTATAATTTTGTTCAGTGTAAATAAACTGTATTATATTTCTTTATTATACATATTAATAATATCATTCATGTGATGACAAAGCAAAATTTTCACATCATTCTAATGAGCTGATTTTGTGCTCAGGAAACATTTCTTATGATCAATGTTGAAAACAATTGTAGTGCTAATTTTGGTTGAAAAAGATAATTTTTTTTCAGAATTCTTTAATGAATAGAAAGTTAAAAAAAACAGCATTTATTTGAAATAGAAACCTTTTGTAGCATTATAAATATCTTCACTGCCACTTTTGATCAATTTAACTTCCTTTTAGGTCTCTCCGGGTTCTGTGTTACTGATGCGAGTTGTGGAAGACTTCATTCATCTAATTGGAGATGCTCAAAAGCCATTCCAGAGCTTTCTGGTCGTCACCAACAACTTCAGTAAGTTCTCATAGCATCCACAAAAGTGCCACAAGTAAATGTCATGTCGTCCTGCAGTACAAACCTCTTAAAGGTACTACCGTGAAGCATTTAATATTTGAACTTTCAAGACTCTGTCTTTCTCTGGTTCTGTCAGTAATCACCATCCAGCGAGAACCAGTTTCGGCTGTTTCCAGTGACATCAACTTCCCCATGAAGGGGAGGAGAGGAATGAAAGACTGGGCACGTTCTGCAGATGACAAGCTCTTCATCCCCAAAGAAGTCTTCACCCTGTCCTCTGATGGTGAGTGATATGGGATATGTTGTGTTAGTGCATGCACTCCGACATGTTGATTGATAGTGATATTGCAGGTAATGCAAGTTTGATTGCAGCTTGCAACATTTTCTAATCTTGCCACTGTTTTACTGTTTATCCAAGAAAGAGGCAGAGTGTTAGTTATGTGATATGTACAATGTGTAAATATACACTTTTGGTTGGGTTGTGTTTTCAATTATCATGTTGTTTTCGTGGTAACAGTATGTGAGTTGCATTGCATCTCTGTGTGCAGCTCCGTCATGGTTATTAATGAGATCATTTGGACCAGCAGTGAGTCTGACTGTCTCATCAGGGTTCTGCTGCTTAATGTGAACTGCTCCGGTGTCCTAGCATGTTATATGACTCTCTTCCCTGTCACATTTGACATTCTTTAACATCTTTCTCACGACTCTCCTAATTTTATTTATTTTTTGTCAGCCCTCCTGGAACAAGTACACACTGCCAAGTTTTGAGCGTTGCAGCTGCATTTAAATGTGGGAATGAGTCACCTAAATCAGTGATGCTCAACAGACTTTTCATTGGACATCTAGCAGTGACCATACACAGTTTCAAAATTGTTTGAATTGTTAAATTGAGTTTTGATGATTTCATGCTCTTGGCAGCCAACAATTCACTGCACAGAATGCATTGTGGTTAGCACAGAATATTTTCTTATTGATTGCACCCATATTTATGTAACCTGGATTATATTGTCTTTTACCTTGTGTAGTTTTGTTTGTGGTTTTTGAGGATAATTTTTCTCCCATCTCATATTTTTTTTCTGTAACCATGTCAGCTTATGTATTAATAAGACCTGTAAAATGTTTTATGTTATGTTATGATTTGAGAAAATTCTCTAGCACCACTGTCTTTAGATTTTATTGCTGATTTGCCTCGTTCAAGAGGATAGGAGCTGTAATTGTATGCCCATGTATTGATCAGACAAACTCCCATTCTGCGATAAATAACCAAACTCTGTGTGTACAATACTGAGCAGCATTAAACTGTACAGTCGTGTTTAGCTGACTGAAGAAGAACTGAATTCAATCAGTCAGTGGTTTGGGAAGAGACAGAGAACATGGTTCAGAGAATAGGAAGAATAAATGGACCAATGAAATCATAGTGATCTGCCAGCACGATAGACACTCAGTCCTCAGACTCAGACTTCGAAAGATATTCTGCCTGAGAGAATGAAAACACAGGATGTGGGCATGGAAGAGCTGGTTTGAAGGCTGAAGAGAGTGCTGAATGAAATGAGAAAGAAACAAACGGACATCAAAGAAATGGCCATTATTGCTAGTGTCTCGTTGAGTGTCTCAACAACTTCAGGCTAAACCATTACAGACCTGCCTGCCCGTGGAGGACCACCCAGCAGGAAATAACAAACACTTCCTGTCTCGACATGCTCCCCATTCTGCCCACTGCCAGCGGAGGTAAGATGGCTCCCTGGGCTGAGCTTTGTCCAGAACGGTTTTCTATTGAAAGAAGGAAAGGTTCATCAGGGCCCTTTCTCAAAATAGCATTGTTGAAGTGATAGCTCAGAGAATAGAGGGAAGATAGAAGTCAGGCTCCATTCAGACCAGACCAACAGGGCTTGTTGTGTGATTGTCATCCATTAACTCATAGTTTAAGATGCAGGCAGAAGCACTGTGGAGCTAATTGGCATTTGATTTGCTGAGTCTAATAGAACTGCAGTATTGCTGGATGAGTTACGTCATTTTGTCCTGTGACATCCCCATTCTCAGTGAAGGGACGATACACGCCTCCCTTTATTCATCCTTTGAAAGCAAACCGAGATAGAAGAATCTGTTTTGTTGGTTTTTCGAGATTTGGGGCATTGAATTATCTGTGAAACTGGCTAATTTTAGTTATTTTTTAGTGCATGATGGTCCAAAATAGCACTGCCATTAAACTTAATGTGTCTGTCTGAGGGGATCTTTTAATGACAAAAAAAGTTGTTGCTTTTTCTTCACTGTGGTAAAGACAAAACAAATTATTAAAATATCATCAGGTAATATTTTTTTTTTAAATACTGTGTATATGTATTATATGTATCTATGCTAGCTAGCATAGTTTCTGCCCACTATCAATGTTAGATAAAATATAAACTGTTAAAAATCAATTTTGAAAGATAAAAATTAGATCAAAAAGAGAAATGTTGCCTACTATTATAAAATAATTTTAAGTTGAAGTACTAACATTATTAAAACTAATAAAATAGATGAAAAGATCAAATATAAAGAAATAAAAATATATTTAAAAACTAATAAAATGTGACAGTCACATAGCACAATTAATAAAACAAACTAAAATTAAAATTAAACTGAAAATATAAAAAAATCCAAATTAAATTTAAAATTCTATAATATTATATAAATTATATTAAAATAACACAGAAACAAACATTAAGACAAAAAAAGTGTTTAGATTTATTTATAAAGTCCTTTTAAAATTTGTTTTAAAAATTATGAATATATA